TCAGCTGTGGGTGTTTGAACTGGTAAGTGAGTCAGGGTGCGAACCCTGAAGAGACTGACTCTAGAGCCTGTAAGCGGGAAGTTTATTGGAACACCTTTGGAAAAAGGGGTATTACGCGGGAAGTCTGCGGACAGGGTTTCACAGGATGGTTATTCAGCATTTTCAGGACTCAGTGGTCTTAGCAACCGTTCATGATTGACGGACAAAAACGCCAAGGGAAGTGGTTCGTTGCCGAGGTATTAGTTGGAGTATTTACCTTGTGGTCTTAAGGACATGAGTGTGAGGTCGTTCAAGCAGTAGTGGCTGACGGTTTCTCTGGGGTTCAGCAAGTTTTCATCTGGTTCTTGGAAGTGTGGGATCAATCGGGATGGGCTAGTAATGTTGATTGTCATCGGATCAGTCGTTGGGAAGTGAGAAGGATTGAGAATTCTCCAGTTTTCATGTATTACGAAGGCTTAGTCGAATCTAAGTGGGGGAGTGTTACCCCGAGATGCGGAAGTGGGGGAGGTTTTGAAATAGGGATAAGTTTCACAGCCCGACAGGGAGAATGGAGGCCCTAGTGGCTGCTTGGTTTAAGGGTTGTATTGATTGGGGGTTCGGTAAAACTCCCCATCATAAGAAACACGTCTTCTAGATGCTTGATAGCAGGAGTTGGGGAACCAGGTGGGAGTTCTAGTCAAGAATTGAGTTCAGTTCGAGTATTCGGTCAAGGGCGTGCTCGACTCTGAGGGTTTTTAGATTGATAGATTGAGGGTTTTGTTAGTTGCCAGGGCTCAAAAGTGTATTCAGCACGGGAGTGCGGGTTATTTAGCGTGTGTGGTAGACACACGGGTCAGGGAACAAACCACGGATTTCTGAGGGGGTGGACGATCGGCATGAGGCCTAGGGTTAGGCTGGGGATATAGTCCACAGAGTAGATCCGAAGTTCGAACCCCCAAGTGGGTGAGAATAGGATGCATGAGAGAGAGCATCAGGAGGGGGTCCAGGAAGATGCTCAACGGTTTAAAGCGGTCCAGACAGACTGAAGGCCCGGTAGGGCAGTCCAGTCATGCTGAAGACTCTATATATGTTCGTAGATCTACGTTCGGGTATTGAGTAGGCTGCTATGCTATATCAATCAGAAGGTCTGTCCCAAAATATTGAACATGTTGCTGGAGTAGGCTGAAGACTCCGGTGTATTTTTGGTTGATCGGAAGTTGTTATTAGTGGTCGGGCGGAGCTCAAAAGGTCTTGGTGATCTCATCAGTTCGGAGTGTCTCCGAGGTTTCATCTTCTGGGATCGGGTAATACTCCAGTGGGGACTGAGAGTGGATCCGTATGGGTATTCTACAGTTTTGGGAAGGTTTGGGATTAGAATATCCTGTCATTCAGGTTCTGGGAACCGGGTTAGATCTTTCTCATGATCGTCTATGGCACTTGGATAAGGTTGAGGCGGTCCTGCTCTATGCAGTAGGCCAAGATACCCGGTGCAGGCCGACTGTAAGTCGTAGGCACGGAGGCTTAAAGGGAGCGGTAGGGTTGAGGCGATAGGCCAACAAACCCTGAGAATTTCAGCTCGATAGTTGAATTGATTAGACATGATTGGTATTCCAACCAGAAGAGGTGATATGGGTTAGATATGAGTGTCGTACCGGTTGACCGGTAGTGGTAGGTATGTTGATGATTATTTGAGTTATTGTGATGTGTCTTGGGTTGGTTTCATCTGTGATAGAGCCATAACGTGTCTGAAGTAAGGAAAAGATGGGTCACCAAAGACCAGGTAAGATGTGAGGCTGACGTGGGTCATGTAACGTTCATTATGTTGGCAGGAGTTGGTGGCAGGGTGTGAGACTGTTGTTTGTGCGTGTGTTTTGGTTCAGTAATCGGTGAGGTGTCCGATGTTCGGGTTGTGGGCAGACAAGTTGGGACAAAAGAGGTTTCAACTTCGCTTGAGAAACGTCATATGGTAGCAGGAAGAGTTGAAGTGAGTTTATGACTTGGGATTCATGTGTGGTAGTAGTTTTTGTATCGTTATGATGTTCTTTGATGAGATGAGCGTCGATTAGGCCCTTCGAGTGGCAGAGGAAAGTGGATATCTGCAGGGTCGAAGTGTTGGGCAATTGAAGTGACGACAGTAGTGTCGATCGGTCATCGGGAGCATTCAAGTTGATAATGAACTAGATGAAAGATGAAGAGCAACAACAAACCAAGAGATCAAAAACAAACCTAATGCTCACTAGTAAGTTATTTTAGTTTCTATGCATTGTTCATTAAATGTTCAAGTTGATAATAAACTAGATGAAAGATGAACTATATGAAAGAATCCCATCATAATTGCTTGGATTGTGGCCCTACTAGTTGATCACTTGCATAATTTAACTTGAGAAATTCGGTACTTAGTGAACACTAATTTAACTTGAGAAACTTCCTTGCAATGTATAACTTGGTATCAAGAAAATAATGGAAGTAAGATATGCACAATGGAAGGAATTGAATGTTTAGGGTGATGTTTTTCTTCTGTTATATTAGCATATATGATTTGGGTTTGTGCAAGAAAGAAAACTGGAAGTAGGACAAGGTTGCCATAATTTAATGTTAGGGTAGTTTCAAGAAAAAAAAGTGAAGGAGGATGAAGATGGTGTGAGACGGAGTTTACCTAAATTACTCCAAATACAAGCTGGATGGTTGTGGTAGTGAGAAACGATGGTTATTGGTTTGGAAAGCAGGAAAATGACTAGAATTCCCCTCGTATGAGAGGTATGAGGGTGGTCGACACATCCAATGAAAATGTAAGAGAGATAAGGACGAAATGAGTAATAAAACAGATAGGGACGAAATGAGTAATAAAAACATGCAGTAAGGACCAATGTTGACAAAATAAAAAATAGGACTAAAACTATAGAATCGTGCCCACCACAAACTATAGATTCGTGCCCACAAGACCATTTCTGTAATTTAGAGGGTGTTTGGCAAAGCTTATTTGAAAAGACTTATGATTTTTTGACTTATAACTTATTTGGTGAAATAAAGAGTTTTTAATAAGTAGGAATAAATTATTTATGACTTTTTGACTTATTAGAGGTTACCAACAACTATAAATTGTTTTTTACCCAAATATTTTTTTTTACTTATCCAGGTAAACCGATAAAAAAAAAAAAAAAAAAAAAAAACTCCTTTAGCTTTGCCAAACACCCCTTTAGTCTAAAAACTTTGTTCCTTGATAATCTCTCACTTTCATCATACACTCAGTCACTCAGACACCCATCCTCTCTCTGACTTTCGTCCAGACGCCACAGGTCATCTCTTCTCTCTCGTCTCTACTCTATCAATCTACATCAACGATTTACGATTCTCTTCTCTCTTTTTTGGTCAACCGGCTGTAGAAGTTTTCGCTCGAGTGGGATCTTGGCCCAGTGAATATCTCCTATTCTCCTCTCTTCTTATCCAACTCCTCAACTACCAGTTACAGCCCCTGCTACCGGTACAATAGCTTAATCTTTATCTCAATTTCTTTAATTTGCTTGATTTCCTTCTGAGTGTAGAGGAATATTCAAACATTAAAAAGTTCTAATCTTGCACAAAAAAAGCCATTGTTTTTTATGTATAAAATTGACCAGTTCAAGAAAATCTTATGAGTAAGAGCCCTAATCTATATGTTTACATTTTTTCATTGAAGCGGCATAATTTGCAGCAATAAAGCATGCCTAGATGATTTTGAAAATTCGTCAGTCTCCGTACTTTTCAAATTCAAAACTAATATTTCAGTTTTTTTTAATATTCTGGATCAAATATTTTCAGTCGTGGAACTTACTTGTAGATCAATCTATATATCAGCTCTGTTATCAATTTACCGATTTTGTAATTGAAAAGAATCGGGTTTGATTTTCAAATATAAAAGGTTCTCAAAGCCGACTATCCTGTTCTAGATGTCGAACTTTCTTCTTTATCCGATCAGAGCAACTTTGGTCTGATGTGCTGACTGAATGTAGTCCGTTAGAAGAAATTTGAAGGCTTTAAAATTGCTTAAATGAAGAATTTTGCTTCCATCATGTTGTCATCAAGCTATAAAAACAAATTGTTCATTCTTGTGCTACTTTAACTAGTTGTTGATCTTTTTGACCTGCAAACCGTAGGCAAACAACAGGAGTTGTTCTTTTGTAGAGGATATTAGTATTGAGATTGAGAATGTTTTATCTGTTAAATAATTTGATAGAAATTTAATTAAATTATGGATATTTAGACAATTTGGGTTAACAACTCTGTTTTCGGTCTTAGAACTTATTTGAAATTATGGATTTTATAAACAAGTTGTGTTGAAAACTTTGATAATTGGAAAATTTGAATAAGGGCAATCTTGTAATTTTTCACATCTTGTTTTGTTCTGTTTGAGCCTTATCAAACTCATTTACACAACCTATCGAGAATCGCTATATAGAAAATTTTGCCTGTATCTGTCCAGCCTTTTGTCGTGTAACAATCGCTACCCTGTATCATGTTCACCTTATTGGTGCTAGACCCATTCCCTTGAGGCAATTCATTTCATTCAAGTTTGTTTGCAATCATTCCCCCGCATAAAATTTCACCAATTAGAATTTGAATTATTAAATGATCCTTCAGGTACACCTTCAATGGCGTATTCCTCAATTTCATCAATTCACAAGAGCTTTAAGTATGATGTGTTTTTGAGTTTTAGAGGCGAAGACACTCGTACAAACTTCGTGGATCATCTGTATCATGCTCTTCAGCAGAAAAGCATTCACACTTACAAGGACGACAAAACAATCAAAAAAGGAAAAAAGATCAGTGATGAGCTCATTGGATCAATTGAAGATTCAAAATTCTACATCACTGTTTTCTCCAAGAACTATGCCGCTTCATCTTGGTGCTTGGATGAACTTGTGAAGATAATGGAATGTCACAGAACAACCGAGCATACTGCCTACCCTGTTTTCTATGACGTGGAACCCTCCGAAGTCAGAAAACAAAACGGGGCAGTTGGAGAAGCATTTGCCAAGTATGAAATGGAAGAGGCTGCTGGGAAATGGAGACAGGCTCTGAAAGAAGCAACAGATCTGGCTGGATGGGAGTTGAAGAAGACTTCTGATGGGTAATTCTTTCATCATATGTCTGCAGTATTCTTGTATTTTGAATTTTTCTGATCTAGGGGATAGCCTGGAGTCCTGGATGTAAAAGACTCGTACATGGCATCTTTGATTGTCATATTTTAACTCAAGATCTGAGTCTTAACGAAAGCTTAACCTAATTGGGATATGATTATATAAGTGTGATTAACTAATCATGTGGGATTTTGAGTAACTAACTGAATCTTCTTTAATGAACAGGCATGAAGCTAAATTCATCCAAAAGATTGTTGAAGAGCTTTCACTAGAGCTACGTTCCATTAGTTTCAACATTGATGAAAAGTTGGTAGGAATGGAGTCTCGGGTCAAAGAAGTTGTATCATCTTTAGGAATCGGTTTTGATGATGTTCTTATGATTGGGATAAAGGGAATGGGAGGTGGTGGGAAGACAACTTTAGCCAGAGCTGTTTTTGATCAAATTTCCTCTCAGTTTGAAGGTAAAAGCTTCGTGGAGAATGTCAGGGAAGTTTCAAATGCTTCTTTGTCCGGTTTGAAGTCTTTGCAAAAACAAGTCCTTCGGGATGTCTTAAATGATAAAGACATCAAAGTAAGTAGTGTTTATGACGGGAAACACATGATGAAGAGGGTGATGCCTGATAGGAAGGTTCTTGTTGTTCTGGATGATGTGGATCATATAGACCAGCTTGAGGCGTTAGCCGGTGAGCCTAATTGGTTTAAGCCTGGAAGTAGAATAATCATTACAACAAGAGATGAGCAAGTGCTCGTAGCACACCGGGTTAAGTTCATTCATGATGTCAGTTTGTTATCAGACAAGGAAGCAATTTGCCTCTTCAGTAGGTATGCATTTGGGAGAGATAATCCAATTGAAGGGTACAAAGAGCTATCCATACAAGTTGTACACTATGCTGCTGGTCTTCCGTTAACTCTTACAGTTTTGGGTTCGTTTCTTTGTGGTAAAAACGAGCTTCAATGGACTGATGCTCTAGAAAGATTAAAGACGATTCCGTTAATGGAAACTCTGAAAAAGTTGGAATTAAGCTATATCAGTCTAGAGGAGGATTACAAGGAAATATTCCTAGATATTGCATGCATGCTAAAAGGTTTGCATAAAGACGTAGTAATCAGAGCGCTTGAAAGTTGTGGATTTCATGCTAGAAATGGTTTAAGAGTTCTTGAGCAAAAATCTCTCGTAACTTTTTCTAAATTCGAGTTTGTGGAAATGCATGACCATATTATAGAAATGGGTAGGAATATTGTTCGTCGCTCACACCCGGATAAGCCTCACAAGCACAGCCGATTGTGGGTTTGCAATGAAATTGAAGAGATATTGGCCAATAATTTGGTAAATATAAATTTTGTTTGTAAGTTGGAGAAAACTAACACATTTTCACTTGTTACTGACATAAGTTTCATGGTGACTTGTTTTGCATTACAGGGTACTAAAGCAACAAGATGTATACACACCAATTATGTACTTAAGTTGCATAATGTTAGAGAAGGTTTTAGAAAGATGAAGGGACTTATATTTCTTTCGGTGTTAATCGAAGATCGTTTCCATAATTCGAAATCTGAAAAAGTCAGCCTAGACTTTCCAGATGCTTTACGATATGTTAGTGTGAAGTGTTACCCTTTTAGGTCTTTACCCAAAACTTTTCAAGCAAATAATCTTGTTGCACTTGTGATGGCATACAGTTGTATCATACAACTTTGGGAAGGAGGAGAAAGAAAGGTAAATATCATTGATTGATTGTTTTGCACGACTCATTATAGTGTTTTACATGCATTGTTTTGTTATTACACCAATATTCATCTTGTCTTTTTTGCTTCTGTTAGGTTCTTAACAAGATGAGATTCCTTGACCTGAACCATTCAAGGTTGCATACCCTTGACCTTGGGTTTGCTCCAAATCTGGAGACGTTGAATCTTGAAGGATGTAATAATTTGGTAGAACTTCACATGCCCATTAGATGTTTAAAGCTCATATACGTGGACATCTCACATTCAAGGTTGAGGACTCTTGACCTTAGGCTGCTCCAAATCTCGAGACGTTAATTCTTTATGTATGTCGTGATTTGGTAGAACTTCAAATGCCCAGTAGATGTCTATATCTTAAATCCCTACAACTCACTAATTCAAAGTTGAGGACCCTTGAACTTGGGCTGACACCAAATCTCGAGGATTTAGATCTTAGAAGTTTTAATTATTTGGAACAATTTCACATGGCTGATGAATGCCAAAAGCTCAAAAACCTCAACATTAGTCATTCAAAATTAAAGACCGTTGACATTGGGCTGACTCCGAATCTCGAGAATTTAGATTTTGGAAATTGTAATTATTTGGAAGAACTTCACATGGCTGATGAATGCCAAAAGCTCAAAAATCTCAAACTTAGTCATTCAAAGTTGAGGACCCTTGACATTGGGCGGACTCCGAATTGTGAGAATTTAGATCTTGGCAATTGTAATTATTTGGAAGAACTTCACATGGCTAATGAATGCCAAATGCTCAAAAACCTCAAAATTAGTCATTCAAAGTTGAGAACCCTTGACATCGGGCTAACTCCAAATCTCGAGAATTTAGATCTTGAAAATTGTAATTATTTGGAAGAAATTCACGTGGTCGGTGAATGTCAAAAGCTCATAAACCTCAACATTAGTCATTCAAAATTGAGGACCCTTAACCTGGGGCCGACTCCAAATCTCGAGACGTTAAATCTTAAAGAATGTTGTAATTTAGTAGAATTTCACACTCCCATCGGATGTCTAAAAAAGCTTGCCCACCTAGACGGAAGTGGTTATTTGGGGTTTAGATCTTTTTTGTTTAATATAAAGGATTATACTTTATGTGGTGTGGATGAATCACATGAGGTTGGTCCTTTAGCTGAATTACATCTGATTGTGGAGTCCCGAGAAAGCTGCCCACTTCACCCTAACAATAGTCTGCCCAAGTTTCAGTTTAGTTGCTTTTATGATGAAGATAGACCTTTGTTGACTAGAAATCTCGAGAAGCTTATTTCTCTAAGTAAGTGTGCTTGCATAAATCTTGAGACGTTTTCTGGAAGCATTTGTGGGCTACGGCGTTTAAGAAAGCTTAAACTCGAAGGCAATATTCAAGATGTGCTTAAGGACCTTGCCCAGTTGGAATGTCTTGAGGAGTTATTTTTGTTGTCGACAACGATTAAGCATCTTCCGGATAGCATTTGGAAGTTGAAACATCTGAAATCTCTCGAACTTAATCTTTGTGTGTTGCTTGAGAACTTACCCGAGGATCTTGGCCAATTAGAATGTTTAGAGAGTTTTGATTTGTCATATACAAAGATCAAGCATCTTCCGGATAGCATTTGTATGCTGAAACATTTGAAATCTCTCAAACTTAATCATTCTTTGTTGCTTGAGAAGTTACCGGAGGATCTTGGCCGAATAGAATGTTTAGAGAAGCTTGATTTGTCATATACAAAGATTAAGCATCTTCCAAATAGCATTTGTATGTTGAAACATCTGAAATCTCTCAAACTTATATCCTGTTATGTTCTTGAGAAGTTACCCAAGGATCTTGGCCGGTTAGAATGTTTAGAGGACCTAACTTTGTATTCTTCAATGATTAAACATCTTCCAGATAGCATTTGTATGTTGAAACATCTGAAGTCTCTCGAACTTTATCATTGTTCATTGCTTGAGAAGTTACCTGAGGATCTCGGCCAATTAGAGTGTTTAGAGAAGCTATACCTACAGAAGTGTGAAATGTTACAAGATATCCCGAATAGCATCTGTGAGATGAAATGTCTAAAACATATCCATCTCCGCTATTGTATTCGGGTTGAGAAATTGCCCGAGGGACTTGGAAGTTTAGAATGTTTAGAAGAGCTAGATATAGAAGGTACAAGCATAAGTCATCTTCCGCAGAGCATTCTTTTGTTGAAAGATCTATATATTATTGGGTCGAGAGGGCTTGTTCAGTCATGTGGTTTTACATTCGAGACACAACCCCCAGAATGTGAAACTTCCTGCTGCATAGTAATGGAATGATTTTGAGAAGCTCGGAAGCAGAAAAAAGAATTTCACAAAGAACTATCGTAACAGGTACTTACGCTGTTTCCTGTTGATCATCTTACTTTGAATTGAACTATTGAAGTTTGAAGTTGATATGAAATAGTTAATTTTGAAGCCAAAAATCAAACACTTATATTTGAAAATATACAACTATTCTTCATACAATTTAACGTGCTGTATGAACAAATGTTGTTTCTTTCATCTTATTGTCAATATATATTACAGGATAGAGTATTCCCTCAATATGTTAGAATGAATTTCTGCACTAAATCATGTTGCCTCTTGAGGCAAAATCCTTGGCCTTTGTTGATGTTAAAGTTCGAATTATTGGGTGTATAAGTTTAGCATCAAGAACTTTACAAGTATAGGAGTCTCGCATCAAGTGCTTGTACTATTCCCAATCTTGGCAACTTCATTTGAGCTTAATTTGGTCTCTAGATAGGCAATCTACTTATTATCTCACCCCATTTTTATTTTGTCTTCAGGGTTATCGTAGAGTATATATCTAAGCAACCTATGCTCACACTTGCATGGGAGATGGGACTATGAGTTATATATTATAATGTTTATAATAATCGTGGTACCAAACTGTAAACAAAAAAAGAAGATAATCCCGATGCCATTGTTCCTGGACTTATGACTGCTGGAGAAGCAGCATGTGCTTCTGTTCATGGTGCTAATCGTCTTGGTGCAAATTCTCTTCTTGACATTGTTGTTTTTGGTGGAGCTAGTGCAAACAGAGTTGCAGAAATCCATAAGCCAGGTGTAGTTGTTTTCTAAGTTTTATGCATATAATTAATAGAAAAAATGTATTGTATAGCCTCACATTGCTATGCTATATACAGGTGAAAAACAAGCACCACTGGAAAAGGATGCTGGAGAGAAGACTATTGCATGGTTAGACAAAATCAGGGATTCAAATGGTTCACTTCATACCTCACAGATCCGATTGAACATGCAGCGAATCATGCAAAATAATGCTGCTGTCTTTTGCACACAGGAGACATTAGAAGGCTGACTAATGACTATGTGAGTGTTACAGGTTGCAATGTGATCGACAAAGCATGGGAGAGTTATCATGATGTCAAATTGAATTAAAGATAGATGCTTGATATGGTAAATCTGATTGGACTTTTAAGATATAGTACTTTTGATTATAGTCTCTTTGGAAAGATGTATTTATGTGAAGACATATTTAAGGAACTCTGACTTGCTAGAGACAATAGAGTTGGAGAACCTTTTGATGAATGCATGCATCACCATGCATTCAGCCGAAGCCAGGAAAGAAAGTAGAGGAGCTCATGCTCGTGAAGGTTTTATGGTTTGCTCACATTCATATCTCTTTTTTAATTTCTTTATTTTCTTCACATGCTCTCATAAATATTTGATTTGATGCTTTTGCAGAAAAGAGATGATGAGAAATGGATGAAACACATGCTCGGGTAAATATATATTTTTCTCTCTTAAATGCAAGAAATAACATCTTACTTATTATGGCATCATAAAAATAGGATGTTGTAATACACAAATAAATGATGTTGTGTTGATCTTAAAATATGTGCTAGATACTAGGAGAATGAGAAGGTGCGACTAGATTACAGGCTAGTTCTCATGAATACTCTTGATGATGAGGTGAAGACTTTCCCACCAAAGGCTCGTGTGTATTAATAACATTCTCCTACAAGAACCGAATCTGTTGGTTACCATTATCAAGAATTATTTTATTATGCAAAATTTTGATAATAAATTGTTGTTGCATTTGTCATTTGATGCAAGACCATAAAAACCTGCACATAAGTTGTCTCTGGTAGATTGTGTTTGTAACATTGTTTTTTAGACTTGGAGCATAATGATTTATGCTTATTGCTTGACTAGTCATGGATAAAGCCAAAGTGTATCTCGATTAACAACAAGATTGTTAGTTAAAGATAATCTCATGTGTGTATGAAAATGGTTATATATGGTAATAATTACGTCTTATAATTGTGTCAAAACAAAATAATTGAACCATTAGTGAGAGAATATCATGCAAAATCATAAGTTTTCAAAAAGAGGAGTTTCCATTGTTTCTTGATCATTGTTCTAGGGTGTTGCTACAAAAAAGGATCTCTGGTTTGGGATTTCGATTCATCCAAGAAGAAAGCAAAGAAATTGCCTACAAAGAGAGGTAATGATTCATCTCTTCCTAGTTTAATTTATGGTTGCAAGAAATCATTGAATCTGTGATCCTGATGGATTTGGTGTTATGAATGCTTGGGTTGCGTGTTTGATACAAAAATAAACCATAATCCAACATTATTTATGACAGTTCTTTAAGGTAGCGTTTGGTATATAGGACTGAACAGAATAGAACAAAACTTTTTTGGATAGCGTTTGACATAGATGGGACTAAGACAAGATTAGACTTTGACTAAGTCAAATGGGACTATTTTGTTGGATTTTAGTCCCATCCAAAATGATGGAACATAGTGGAACTAAATATATTTTACATAAAAAAAACTTTTGTCTCCTCTCTCATCCCTACCCTTTCATCAACGCTTGTCATCTCCATTTTTTTATTCGAAGCATTATTATGAATTCCCAATACACTTTTCTTCCATTCATCTTCTCTTCACCGACCATTTTTTTTTTCTTTTTTGGTGTTCGAAAAACACATTCATCTCACTTTTTATATTGACGATAGCAATCCCATCTAATTACCTTCCATTTCCATTGTTGTGCTGAACAACCAATTTTACATTTCTTATTCTCAATAGATTCCAATTTTTTTTTTTTGCCGTCAACACCATTATTGCAATTAAGTTTCTTCAACTTTACCTATTACCTATTTACTTTTTTTTTTGACAATATCTAACAACAACCAACATAGAAAATATAATTTTTATCAACTGTGTTGTGATTCCATCAATTTCCCATTTAGTTTTTCTCTAACTTTATAACTCAAATATTATAAATCATGTACTTGAAATCTTTATGAAGATACGTTAATAATTAATGGATCAA